TTTTTTGCTGGTAGACTCTTCCTGGAGGTTTGATGAAACATGTTGCCACATTTAGGAAGCCCTTGTGGCAAGGATCTGAGGACAGCTTCCAGCCAATTCCTGGCTAGACATTGATCCTACCAGTCCAATATTCCCTTCAAAATAAATTCTTCTAACCACCACAAAAACAAGCCTCCAATTAGATTCTTGCCAATTGAGCTTTCAGATGAGGCACCAACCCTAGCTAACTCTTTTGATTGCAGTTTTGCAAGAGACCCCGAATCAGAGAAACTAGCTATATCATATCCAGATTCCTGACCCAGAGGAGCCATGAGATATAAGTGTGTATTATTGAAGTGATTAAGTTTGTAGTAATTTGTTTCATAACAGCAAAAAGTTAACACAAATACAAACTTGACATTTTTATGTTGTTGTACACAATTCTTCCATTGTTATTGACATTTGGGTATGTCTTAGCAGAAGTGTAAAATTATGGTGGGGAGAGAGGTTTTCTCGTGTGCTTTGGCGTCTCTCTCAAGTTCTTTAGTGGTAGAATCAATTATTTAGCATATAATAAATGACCATTCTATTCTTACTGAATGAATGAACAAAGATATTTTTGTCTTGGTATTTTCAAAAAGTGACTTGGATTCATGCTTTCTGATATTTGGCATCTCTGACTCTGCTGTGTTTGTGTAGTTAAAAGAGTCATGCTTATTTATTCTCAGTTAATGAAGAAAAATGGATTGTTTCCACAAAATGTTACTATTAATTTTTTTTTTCTAGGATTTTGGAGAATGAGTGTTCCTAGTTTCTGCAGGTTCACACGTTCTTGTTCTTCCAGACAGAGAGATAACAACTACATGGGAGTTCATTTATGGCTACCTTTCCACTCCCCTCTAGAAGAAGTAATTTTTGTCATTCCATCCTTCATTGAACAAGAAGTTCTCAAAAAGTACCACTGACTTCCCTAAATGATTTCTTTATCCCCACTCTACTGCGGGAGCATTTTTACATTGGGATGACCAGAGACCTCTCTTTAGTCTACATGGTTCAGAATCACCAACCTCACCCTTGGTCCCAGTCTTTCCTGGTGGGTAGAACAGGGTAAAGTTTATGGTCACCCCTGCCCTCACAGTATTTCTAGTTCTTAACTCTGTGCTACCTGTCAGCGGGGTACAAGGACTCCTGGCTCACTATGGATCCATGAAAAAGCCAGTTAGTAAATTCTTTTTATTTGAGAGAACTCGAAGATTGGATGTGTTTAGGCAGTGTTATCCATGACAATAGTTCTTGGAGAAGGTTGATTAATGGGTCATTTTTAGCTTGGAAGAGTTGAAGAGTGTTTGTATTATTCAGACTTTGTCAACAGTGACTTGAATGAGATTGTTCTTGACACACTGATCACCTTTGTTGATTTTGTGAAGAGGATGAGCCTATTAGCAAAGACACTAAATAACCGAATACAAATCCAGAAATATTGGGCCTGTGGGTGAAAGTCTATCAAGATAGACTTCAGCAAAGATAAGTGTACGTGGGTCCAGCACGCGCGTACACACGAGCATGCACACACACACACCTTCACCACTGTTCGCATGTTCTTGTCTCTCAGATAAGGGAGATTGGGTTTGAAGCCTGCACTTGGATGCTGAATTCAGGTGTGGTGCCTGAGGGTGTGTGTGTGTGGAGGTATTGAACAGAGTAATAGTCCTAGAGGCTGGGGGACTGGGAACCAGATAGAGATCTGTCTCGGAGGAAGTCTTGGAGAGGGTGGGGGAGGCAGATTGTAGGCAGAGCCTGGGGCAATTCCTGTCTGTGTACTTTTTTTTTTTTTTTTTAAATCATTTGTGTGGGCCTTAGGCAGGGGTGAGGAGGGAACTGTTACAGGTACCAACCAGCCAGGTGTCCATGAGCAGAAAGGGGAAGCCAAAGTCTAGAAGCAGTAGAAAAATGGCTTGGGGATTTGAGTTGAAAATGTGACCTGGGTTAATAAGAAAATGAGATTCCTGAAAGAGTGCATTGGATCTCAGGCTGGACTGACAGGTGTCAATGGCATTCGCCACGAGTCTTGGTCTAATATCACCCAGTGTCCTGAGTCCAATACTGGGCATCATACTTGATAAGAATTATTGGCATCTGGAAGAGCGGTTTCATGCATCCCTTATTCACCAAATATTTTCTGAACACCTACTAATTGCCAGATGCTTTCCTAGATAATGGGATTTTAGCCAAGAATAAGATAGCCAAGGTTCTTCTTCCTAGTAAGTTTCTGTTCTAGTCTAAGGAGTTAGGGAGAAACACTGCAGTACATGAATACATTAGATCATTGTGTAAGGGAATAAGCCACATGGACAATACAGTTGGGTGATGTGCTAGAAAGTGACTTAATGGTGAGTGTGGGTGGGATAATCTACTTACTTAGGGTGATGAGAGAAAGCTTCTCTGAGGAGCTGAGATCTGAGGGATGAATACAAGGCAAACAGAGAGATGCAGGAAAATAATTCTGGGGTTGAAGAAACAGCTAATGCAAAGACCCTGCAGTGGGGAAAAGCTTAGAGAACAGAAGAGGGCTGGAAAATCTGGGAAGCAGAGAGCCAGGGAAGACTGGTATGATGAGGTAAGGTGGGAAAGGCAGGTAAGTCTAATGGTCAGTGAGGAGATGCAGAATGATGCCATTTGTTTATTAAACAATCATCTAACAGCACTTCCTATGTGCCGAGCCCTGTTCTAATTTTCTCACAGGTATTAACTCATCCGTCATCATGAAAACGATGGTGCTAACTAAAAATCAAGTTGCGTTTTACAGTGGAAAATGCTTTCATCACCGTTATTACATTCAAGACACACAAAGACCATGTTAAGTCAGTTTTTTTTAAAACTATGATTTTTACAGACCTTGAACATCAAGCACAAGAGAAGATGAAATGATTTGTCCAAGAACAAAATCCTGTGCTATTTTTATTCGTAGTATCATTTTTCACTTGGGCAATAACTGAAGGAACAGAGAATATTTAACCTGGAGAAGACAGATCTTAGAGGTGATGTGTCTCCACCACGTGCAGAGATGCATCACCATGACTGTGTTTAAATATTTCATGGGCTATGCTAGTTCCTGCCTCCCCTTGCCACTTGCTGGCCACAGTGACCTCTAATACCTGACCAGAGACCCCATGAGTCCTTTTTCCACACTGGGTGGTAGCTAATATTTGCTGAGTTATTGATCTTTTTTTTTTTATTGTTGTTGTTGCAATTCTTCTATTTCCTGAAAATCTCAAGGGTACTGGAAGAATGTTTAAAACCATTCCAGTTTAGGATTCAGACCCTTAAATTAGGGAGGGAAGAAGAAATGCAGCATATAGTTATCAGGATGTTGTTCTCATTGGTTCTTTCAACTCACAAACATTTCATTGAGCATTTCCTCTGGGCAAGTCTCTGTTCTTGGTGCTGGGAATAGAGAGATGAAGGAAACAGGTACAGGTCCCTCCCCCGCCCCCCATCCTCCATGCAGGTTATTCTCTAGAGGGAGAGCTAGACAACAAGCAAGATAAAAACAAATATCTATGCAATTTTAAATTTTATTAAACTGTAAGGAAGCAATGAAATGTGTTTTTGTTATCACTGCATTATGATCCCCACTGATATTTTTTGCCATATAAAATCAACCAGAGTCATTTATTTTGCATGTGAATATGAAATTCTGACAGGCCTTAGTGGGAATAGCTTATCGCTGCTTCACACAGTGCCAGCTGGGGTGATTGAGCATCCATTTCCATGGTGGTGGCTCACATATTTGTTACTGGCTGTCATTTGGAAACTCTGCTGGGGTTGGAGCTGGGAGCCTCATTTCCCCCCTACTTGAGCCTCTCCATGGGAACTGCTTGAGCTTCCTTATATCATGGTGGCTAAGTTCCAAGAAATGGTCCCTATTTATAAGACCCGAGCCTGGAAATGGACTGCTATATTCTATTGGTCAAGAAGTCACAGAACATACCTAGATCCAAGAGTGCTTATAAACCCAACTCTTCATGAGAAGAATGTAAAAATAAATAAGAAACACCATGGCCATCTTTGATTTTTTTTTTAAGCAACATCTTTGTAAGTTTATGTCTTTAGTTCTACCCTACAGAACATTCAGTTTTGCCTGCAGATTTTTACTACAATTAGAATGTGGTGACACTGGTTTTCAGGTGCTTGATTTAGTTTGGATCTTATGGTCTGACCAGCTCATGAGGTAAGGGTGATTCATTAACAGATGTCAGGGACTGAGGTCATGGCTCAGTGGTAGAGCACTTGTGTAGAATGTGAGAGGCACAGGTTCGATTCTCAGCACCACATATAAGTAAATAAAGATCCATTGACAGAGAGAGAGAGAGAGAGAGAGAGAGAGAGAGAGAGAGAGAGAGAGAGAGAGAGAGAGAGAGAGGCCACCCAAGTTGTAAGTACAGGATTAGGGAATATAACTCAGCGGTATAGCATGTATCTATATGTGTGGGGCCCTAGGATTGGTCCCCCCCCCCACTAAAAAAGGTAAGAAAACAGTTGATTATATTTATCCCTTGATTATATATATAATAACACACTATCTTTATTAAGCAAGTTGGCAAAAGAGCAAATATTGAATTTACATCCCTTTGTTAAATATGGATTCTTAAAACTTCAAAGTCAATAGGTTTTTAATCAAGCCCATTCTGTCATTAGGGTCTGAATTGGGGAGGAGGAGGTTTACATATCTTAGGATATCATAATCTGTCCATTTTCCTGTCCAGAGCCCTTTGAGCTATTTTATTTAACCATCAATGACTGTCACAAACATGAAGGACAAGCATGCTTGGTTTTCTGGGGAGCTCCAGCATTCTTGTCTCTCACCCTTCTGGCTGCCTCCCCCTGCTGGGGAAGAAAGGAACACCTGTGTTTGAATTCCCTCTCCAGCCCTTATTTTCCTTGGGTCTTTGATTGGGTGGTTTACCTTCCTGGGATTCAATTTCCACAACCATAAAATGAAAATAAGACTAACTTGAAAGTTGTTTTGAAGGATTTAATAAACCACCTTAAGTGAATTGCCGGTGCATACAGTAGGTCCTCAATAAAAGCGAAATTTCCTTTCTCTTCTCCAAACTCTGACCAATTTCTCTTTCTTGCCTTGAGGTGAAGTCATCAAGAGAACAATGGAGTGCCTGGTGGCTCCCTTCACCAGGCCTCTCTTCAGCTCTACCCCAATCATGGACTAATTTGAAAACCCTTGGGGCTAAAACACAATATTCCTGATTAAAAAGAAAAAAAAAATTATCCATATGCACTCACACCCACATTCATCCTTTCTCTCTGCTCACTTAGCAGTGAGATAAAAACATGTCTAGCTCACTTAGGAACTTGTCTCTGCATTCTGTTACAATAAAAAAAAAAACCAACTAGAACAAAGCACTTAGAACAAATTTGAATACAAATAGAAGATTTGGAGACAGTTACAGATGGTTTTCTTACAGCAGACATTTCCCTTATTTTCCTTCCTCTGGCTGGTGCCCTTGATCATCTACTTTGCCCTCAACCCTGCCCAAGGGGAGGCATCGAGGGAGAGAAAGGCAGCTCCCTCCCAAGTTCAAGCTCTAAACCCTGTAGACCCTTCCCACGCGTTCCTCAGAGCGCCTAGCTGCGCTGCTCAGCCATTCCGGAAGGTTTGTTTATTCCTTGGATAGATTCTGTTTGCAACCGGCAGATCAGGAGAGAGGAGAGGAAGGAATTACCTCGGATGGCTGGAGCGGAGAACTAATGAAAGGAAGGCTCCGGGGCTTTGCCAATGGGGCATCTGGCCGGAAAATCTGTGGATGAATCAGCACAAGTGGATGCTCGCTGTTTCAAAAATGGCCCAAATCGCATCTTCTAGTGATCCTTTGTGGACGGTATCATATTGAAAGTGAACTTCAGTGAGAGCATGTTAACTTTTATTGGTGGTTGAGAGGTCAGAAGCCAAAGATCTTCCACTGGGTCTTTTGAAAGCAAAAGGTACCTTTTAATGTCAGCATTCCAACTTTGGAATCTTACACTATCTTCCGTGTGCTGTTGTAAATTGTCATCGTCACAAAGATATTATAAGACCCATCTTTTCTCCTAGAATCATGAAAAGGACTCTCCTTAATATGAAATTGGATATTAAAAGCAGTTTCTTATCCATGTGTCCTGAAGCAATCAGTGACAACCATGATTAATTAGTGCATGGGTGAGTCCTGGAATGCTAATTGTCATTCTGTGGTTCAAAATCACAACCTGGATTTTTTTTCTTTCTTTTTTTTTGTGTGTGTGTTTTGCCCATATGTGCCTCTGAGTATCCAAATCTAAATATCACTTGCTCTAGAGACTTGACATAGTTTCTATACCCATAGTTTATAGGCAACTGGTAGTGCCAAATATCTTATATTTTTGTACAGCCAAATGGTTGTGCAAAGTCACACTTAAAGGGTGCAAAAAGGAAATCATCTGTAGAGTGTGATGCTACCCAGTCAATAGAGAATGAGAGTCACAGGCATGGGCGGTGGAGTGGACTCACTTGGAGGAGAACTCAGCTTTCCATTTAATGAGAGAGCATCTTATTTTGTTATTTAACCTTAATAAACCCATTTCTGTAATATTGGGTTAATGGTAATTACCTCATCAACTGCTTACATGGAATTAATGGGATAATTCAAATGAAAGATTTATCACAGTATTTGGCACACAGGGGACTCAATGAATATTGTTGATGCAAAAATTGGTGTTATGCTTGTACTCTTGCTATAAATTGGAAAAGTTATTTAGCTTTTTATTTCTATTCTTTTGTTTGTTTGTTTCATTTTGGGCACTGGGGCTTGAACCCAGGATGCTAAACCACTGAGCCACTCCTCAGCCCTTTTTTATTTTTTATTTTGAGACAGGTACTTGCTAAGTTGCTTAGGGCCTTGCTAAATTGCCAAGGCTGGTCTTGAACCTGCAGTCCTCTTGCCTTAGCCTTCCAAGTCGCTGGGATCACAAGTGTGCACCCACCATGCCCAGCTCTGTTATAGTTTTATAAATTCTTATTTGCTTATTTATTAGTGTGGCTACGTTGATTTTAGTACTTATGAAATACCAGCTTTCTTTGGGATTTTCTTTGCATGTGTGTCTCATGGTCTCAAGTCCTCAGTTCTGTTTCAGAAGATAGGAGCTGTGTCTCACATCTCTCTGTGATTTCCACCAAGACTCAGTGATAATTTGCCTTCTGTGGGTGATCAGTGCCACTCATTGGCAATGGAGAGTGACGAGTAGTGTGTAGTGGGTGACTATCAGAGGTTCAGCTTTCATAGACATAAGAAGACTTCAAGTTTGTAGGAGAAAAGAATTCCATTTTTCTTTACAGCTAGAAATACCACCCTTCATCCCGGACCCTCTTCTTACAGCCCCTTGCTCTCATCTGGTGAAATGGGAAGATAAAATGGGTGGACTTACATCATCACTAGGGGCAACACAATTCTTTATGAAGGGTTTAGAAGACTCTTTGTGTCTGTGTACTGGGGATTGAACCCAGGGGCTCTTGGCCATAGAGCCACACTCCCAGCCCTATTTTGTATTTTATTTAGAGACAGGGTCTCTCTATGAGTTGCTTAGTGTCTTCTTTTGATGAGGCTGGCTTTGAACTTGCGATCCTCCCATCTCAGACATAATTGCAGGCATGTGCCCCTGGGCCTGGCTTGATTTGGATAAAATGTGTTCTATGACATGAACTTTTTTTAAAAAATTGTGATATAAATTGGTGTGTGTGTGTGTGTGTGTGTGTGTGTGTGTGTGTGTGTACTGGGGATTGAACCCAGGGGCTCTTGACCATAGAGCCACACCCCAGCCCTATTTTGTATTTTATTTAGAAACAGGGTCTCTCTATGAGTTGCTTAGTGCCTTCTTTTGATGAGGCTGGCTTTGAACTTGCGATCCTCCCATCTCAGCCATGATTGCAGGCATGTGCCCCTGGGCCTGGCTTGATTTGGATAAAATGTATTCTATGACATGAACTTTTTAAAAAAAATTGTGATAAAAATT